GCCCGAGGAACAGGTACCCGCTCCGGGCCCGATTCCCCCTCCTCCTGGTGTTCCCCGCCGGCAGCTGGCTGAAGGTGGCTGTTGTGTTTCACCTCTAGGTTGTTGTGTGCCCCCCTTCTTTTTGAAATCTTTTATGTTTTATTTTCTGTTTATACTGGGGATGATCTGGAGTCCTTGTTACGACTTCAAAGCCGAGCCATGATACGGAGCTACAGATCATCCCTGGCTCACGTTTGCGAGGGGAGGAGGGGTGGGTGAATGCTGGAGCAGCAGACCGTGGAGGCCTTCCAGCGCTGCGCTGACCAGTGCTGCTCAAGGTAGCGGGCGCGGCTGGGGCGAATTTCTGCTTCTGTAGGACACGAACAGTCCAGACTTCTGCCGCCGCGCGGGACTTGGCGGCTGGGTGTGGGAAGGGAGGCATGCCCCGCGGCCGGCCGGCTGTCCCGCTGTGCCTGCGCGGGCGAGTCCGGCCGCCCGGGCCCGCCCTGACGAACTGGGACGTGCCTGTCGGCTGCCCCGCCAGGCCCCATCCATCCTGCCGAACACCCAAGCCGCGTCCTCTAATGCCGCTCAACGAACAAATGAATAGATGTCCGCTTTCTCCAAGAGTGTTTTTTTGAGGTTTGAAGGGATGATATTGGGTTATGTTCCATACCTGATGCGGAAGAGGTAATCTGTTTTACATGCAACACTTGCCAGAAGTCTGTTGCAGCCAATCCTGTTATTTTTCGTCTTTGCCCTGTGATGCAGCACAGAGTTGAGCTATTTACATTTTAATGTAGGCTGACTTATAAATGTTATTTTGTGTATTTTGTGTGTTGTAAAAGAAAAAGATCCAGTTAAGTTCAAGACACACCTTTCTATAGTGTTTAAAACATTTGTGCTTCTTATATTAAAGGTTCTTTAATTGTATAAACGTGTAGTTAATTAAACTTTATTGAAATGAAATTGGCTCCAAAGTGAGCTCTGTTCTATAGCCTTTCTTTTGTTAAGGAACATGCAGGTAGGTTTTGGTTTCTCGTAGGCTAGCAGGGTGGTATGGGTAGGGGCAAAGAGAGGTGAGGAAGACTTGCAAGCTTTCTGCTGTGGTGGCAGGGTTAAATCTGCGCGCGAATGAAATACATATATATTATCACTTCTGAAAGGGTAAAGGAAGATGAGCTCTTTTTAAACTTCCCCCCTGAAAACAGGCCCTTCA